AAATTATTTACAATTTAAAATTCAAAATTAGTCTCATTGAAAATTAATATTATATTAAAAATATGTTTTTAAGAAATATAAAATATAAAATAAATAGTAAAAAATATTTAATTTTGTCATAAAAATAGTTATTGTTAAAATGATCATCTATTTTATTTTTAGTTTTTAATAACATATATGTATATATAATTGTTTGTGTAAAGCCGTGTACACATATAGACGAGGTCCAAATTTGATTAGCGACGGAAAAATAGAGTCGCTAATTTGGGATGGAAATTTTCTGTCACTAATTAAGCAAAAAAAATTTTCCTCACTAATTAAGGATAAAAAATTCTGTCACTAATGATTATCTATTTTTCACTAATTAATGATAGAAGAATTTATTTTAAAAAATTATGAGAGGAAAATTTTCTGTCACTAATTAGTAATAGAAGAATTAGTGACGGAACAAATTCCATTACTAATTTCATCGCTAATGTGATCTTGCTGCTAAACAAAAATTTTGTGGCTAATCATATGTTTTTTGTGTAGTAAGCCCTGATTTTTTTTAATATTTTTTGAAATATTATAGATAAAATGACATTAAGGACCCACAGAACCAAATATACAGCAAAAAAGTCCTCTGAAATTCATAATTGTTTTGAAGTCCCAAAGGGATTTAATGTAATTTTCAAAATATTGAAATGACTCTCTTGCCCTAGCTATCAGAAACAAAGACGGTGAGTTGGGTGAGGAGTTTGCCCCGCAGTATGGTTGAGAGAGATGTTGGGAAAGAAGGAAGGAGCCATTGATGATGAAGTGTCTTCTCCATTAACATTAGTGAACTCTAAAAAGCTTCTATGTGAATCTCTACAAATCTTCAGGTTTGGAACTTTCTTTCCTCTCCTCTCCTACCTTTCTTGACAGATTGTGCATTTGTTTGGGAATGGGAAATCAAAAAATCGTTTTTGCCTTTGGTACTGCAAAGCTTTTGTTTTTGGTCTAAGATTCACAAGTTAATCAATAAAAAAGCTATGTTTTTGGTTGGTGTGTGTTGGTGATTTAAGTTGGGTGTGTAGGATGATCATGGATGCTCTGTTTTGGGTTACTGTGGGTGGTTTTGCTCTGTTCTGACATTAGTTTAGTGGCAAAGGAAGAAAAAGATGAAAGCTAGTGTGGGTAGAAACCCTCAGCACGAAATGAAATATTGTGTTGTTAATTAGGCCGTGATAGTTGTTAATGTGTGCCATGACAATTGTCAACGTAGCTGCTTGACTTGTCAATGATAGTTGCGTGATTCTTAATACAGGTTTATATTACTAATAGTGAGTATGTCTGGAAAGCATCTATTTTACTTTATTCACATAGGAGGAAGTTTATAAACGATGGAGAAGATGATGTGAGATATCTGGGAGGTAGTGTAAGAACAACAAATATAAAGGAGGGCGTAAGTTATGAAGAATTGAAGGAAATTATATCATCAATTGCTGGAAAAGAAAGTAACTCATTTTTTTTTGAAATTCTTAGTTGTGTTTGATAAAAAAAAATAGTTATGGAGTTGGTAGTTGATGATGAGGTAGAACATTTGATAAAGTTCAAAGAAGAAAGTGATCATGTGTATATAGAAGAGAATGGAAATAAGGACCACATAGAAGCAACAAAGGATAATGCAATGGAGGAACAAGATGTGTAAGTTTAGTTTAACAAAATTATTATTGTCATTTCTTGGTATGTCAGTTGTTACTGTCTTGCTATCAACTTGTCAATATGTGCACTCTAACTTGTCATTTCCTGTAGGATTGATCAATCATTTGGAGGTGTTAATAGATTATCTATGTCTCCACCTATCTTATTTGATGAGATTGAAGAGTCACCATCAATTTCTTGTGCTGCTGAAATGATCCCAATACCAACATCACAAATGAATTCCACAAAATGAAAGGATTTGATTATTGGAGAAGGAAAAATATTTCCAAATGCCACTACTCTCTGAAAAACATTATACAAGTATAGCTTATCCCAGAAGTTTTCATACCTTTTTATTAAGAATAATCAGCAAAAGGTCATTGTGAAGTGCACGGTTGATGGCTATCTATGGTATATGGGTGCATATTCAATGAGAGCACATTAAGATACTGAGCTTTTAACTGTCAGAACATACAAAAATGAAACACATTCATCATGCACAGGATAACTTAATTGTTTCTTACTCAGGAAGGTCAAATTTAGCTGCTTCAATTGTGATTGATGACTTGAGGTGCAATATTGACAAGAGTCCTAATAAAATTAGAAATGACTTGTATAAAGAATATGGACTGCAATTGAACTATACTCAAGCATATTGGGTTAGGAAGAGAGTACTGACAGAATTACATGGTCGAGTAGAAGATTCTTATAAAGAAATAGGTTTGATTGTCCATCTTTTTGATAGAATATATATAAGGTATCCTCCAGATAATTCAAATCGAACCAATTGGATGTCCGACTCAGGCCTACATGACATGATTGATCAATAAAAATACTCTAACACTTCACCTTTGTCGTATATTCCGTACATCACACTAGATAGATATCATATTCATAGAATACGATTCACTTTCAAGATGCCTTGGTGGTGAAATCCTTAGACATATGAGAGACTAATAGAAACTGACCCTAATATAGTTACAAGATGGGAAGGCTCAGATAGCAACTGATTTGAGAGGCTATTTATTACATATGGATGCTCAATTAAAGGTTTTGTGCAAGGTTGTAGACTAATTATTTATATAGATGGATGTCATTTGAGTGGTCCTTACAAAGGAACTTTATTATCAGCTTGTGTATTTGATACGGACAATAAGTTGTTTCCCTTAGCATATGGTATTGTTAGGGGGGAAACAAATGGCGAATGGGCTTGGTTTCTATAGAATTTGAAGGAGATAACCAGATCAGCACAAGTGACAATTGTTTTAGATCGGAGTAATGCTATTATTGGTGCTATCAGGGTAGTATTTGATGGTGAGAGACATGCTTTTTGCTATCAACATGTGAAAGAAAATTATAGTGCGCAGTATGTGAAAATCAATGCAGGTGTGAGACAAACCTCAGAAAATAACAAGGAGAATGCACTTAATTTACTTGATGGAATTGCATATGCAAGGCATGACAATGAGTTTAATGTTGTAATAGGAAATTTAAGATTGTTTTGTCCATAATTGGCACAATGGGTTAAATCTCATGGGGATGTGGATTGATGGGCACAAAGTAAATTTCCTTTTAAAAGGTGGGATAATATCACCAATAATCTTGCTGAATCTTTTAATGCATGGATGTTGAAAGAAAGGAAGCATGCCTTGTTGGTTTTGATATAAGAGCATCAAGAAAAGTTGGCCAAGAAAATGATTGCTAGCAAAATAGGGATGAAAAGCTGGAAAAATGGTGTAGGGCCCAATATTAAATCAAAGTTGTCGGAACAAATAGCAAGAGATGAATATATAGAGGTAATATATTATGGTAATAACCATATTTCAATGCAGACAATGCATGAGGGACATATCATATATGTGACTGTTGATCTTATTTCTCACAGATACACATGTTTGGCATGGCAAATGAGTGGAATATATTGTCCACATGCATGTGTGGCAATCAAACTAGTTTATCATAGTGTGTATGATTATGTAGATGACTATTATAAATTATCCACACCAGAGAAAATATATGCAAATAGCATAAGGCCAATTGCAACGCATGATTGCCACAACCAGATACACCTACTATGACTCATATGCTGCCTCAAACCCTTATGTTTTTTTTTTTGGATGAGTTATGAAATAGGTGTAGTTTCATGTATATGAAGGTGTAAATGAAAGTTGGCTATGAATTGGCATGTTAGATTCTGTTGTTATTTCAGTTGTCATTACCTGCACCCTGCATTATCATTAGACTTGTTATGACTTGTCAATGAAGCACTGTCACTTGTCAATTAATTTGCTAATGTAAGTTGTCAACAAAATGAATTAAAGTTGCATAACCTGTTTTAGTATCATATGATATTTTCAACCACTCTGTCATATTATATTTTTGGTTATATTATTATATATAATCATTATTAATGAAGTGTCAATGGTAGCACTGTAACTTGTCAATGGTGGCACACTAACTTGTCAATCATCGCACTGTGACTTGTCAATGGTAGCACTGTGTCTTGTCAATAATGGCACTATGACATGTCAATGGTGGTACTGTGACTTGCCAATGGAGCACTGTGACTTGTTAATGAAGGTACTATCCCTTATTAATTGAACATAAATTTGAGTAACACCTTCTTCTTAATAATTATATTTTAATATAAGTATTACTTAACATTATAAATAAATGACACCTTCAGTTGTAAAAATTTTGAATATCAATTGTTAATATCCACAAATTCATTTGTTATGAAATTGTTATATCACTTTTCATTAACTCCTATTATATTACTTATTAATATTACATAAATTTGTCTATATTAATAAAGATATAAAACAATAAAAATAAAAATGTAATAAAACCCTAAGAAATTGGTATCATAACATCTTATAACAAAGGCAATAATATTATAAACATAATTTGATCAGTTTGTTACAAAATGGCCTGTTGACTATTAAGCTATTACCACTCATTGCTCACACCCTTAATTGCCAATCATCTTACAACACATCTTGGCCTAACAGAACAAAAAGTTAATTGATTACTCTATCTCCTCCTCTTACTCTTGTTGTAGTTCGATAGCATCGATATCACTTTATCTCCATGTTCATTATTTGGATGGGTAACCAACCACCACAAACAGCCAACCTTTAACTCTTGTAGTTCATTATTAGAGTATCGTGGCATGGTATATCCTGCAGCATCACGAACAATGCCATCCCACTCTTATAGCCAAGAGAGGACATGAACTCCATATGAATCACTGCCAAGCAAATTCAATATGTAAGCACCATGCAATTTTTATTGTGAACAATAATAAACAACATAACACAGTCAAACAACTACATTCACACATCATTCTGCACATAAACTCTTGCCCATTTCACTTCATTGTCAATTTTGTCCTCATTGGCAAGCAATTCTGGCTTCACAGCACACAGCATTGTATAGAAATAGTTCATCTAAAAAAACAAACAGCACATAATCAAAAGGTATTACTAACAACATAGCATCCAATGACAACTACACAAGCATCCAGTGACAACTAACACAGCATCTAATGACAACTAATACAGCATCCAGTGACAACTAACACAGCATCTAATTACAATTATACAAGCATCTAGCGACAACTAAAATGGCAGTAAATAACTTAGCATGTAGTGACAACTAACACAGCTTCTAGTGACAACTAATGTAACTTCCAGTGACAACTAATAGAGCATCCAGTGACAACTAACATAGCATCTAGTGACAACTAACATAGTGTCTGGTGACAACTAATACAACATCCAGTTACAACTATCCAAGCATCTAGCGACAACTAACACAGCAGTAAATAACTTAGCATGCAGTGACAACAACGCAAGTTGCTAGTGACAACTATAACAATAGACATTGATAAGTATAACAGCAATAAATAACTACACGCAGTTTGTGTTGCTAAAAATTGTTTGGGATTGAAGTGCCCTTTATTTATCCCTTTTTTCTTCTTCTTTGCATCATGCCATTGCTCACCCCCTTCTTTTCCTTGTTCTTCCTCTGCTTGTAATCTCATGTATGCGATGCTATCAACCAATGAATCAAGGGCGTAGAAGGTCATGGTCTTTATCTCCAAAACATAACAAAACCAGTGATCTTCAAATAACATAGGACCAAAAAGGAAATCGCAAATATTGTACCCAATACATTTAGGTAATATTTCCCTTTTATAGTCCTCCTATTTCCATCTTAAAGGATTTGCCACCATCTTTTGCATGAAATCTGCAGAAAATATAAGCCAATTGACTTGCCCCTCTTTATCCTTTTGATCTCCAACAAATGTCTTCATTACCATAATCATAAACTAAAATTACAATACAAATAAATTACAACTCTTTACCATCAAATAACTCATTTTGATGTTAACTATATATATGTGACTCACCCTGTCGTTTATCCATTTTCTATATTAGAGACATTGCAGCTTACCATGGGTTAGGAAGTATCCATACATCAATATAAAGTATCTAATACAAATAAAACAATTATGAACTCAGTAAATTCTGTAACATAATATAAATTTGGTCATCAAAACATAATACTTACTGCTTTTGCTCCTTTTCATTACACATTGCTGTACACATGTCAAATAAAGCTTGCTTGTCATCAATTGTTCTCTTTTTCTCGGGCTTACTTTTAATTTCCAGAAATAGAGACCTAAGAGCCTTACCCTTACTTATCACCCTTGTTGATTTCCTCACATATTTTTCCCCTTCTCCTTGGTTGTCCTCTGGATCCTCTTCTTCTCTTTTATTTTCTTCTTCATCTTCTTTGTCCTCTTCTTGCTCTTTGTCCTCTTCTTTTCTTTTATTTTCTTCTCCACCCATCTCCTTTTCTGATTGAGTTTCTTGTTCTTCTTCTTGATTTCTATCATCTTCCGATTTAGTTCCTTCTTCTTCAATTTCCTCTTCCTCTAATTCATTTCCTTTGACAACTTTTTCCTCGACTGACTCAAATTCTTCTTCCTCATCTTTCTCCTCTTTACTTACATTTTCACTATCCTTTGTTGGTCTGAACTAAAGGGCCATCATTTCCTCTCCTAGTATTGACACCAATCAAGCATATGTTTTCTTTATCTCCTATACAAATAAAATTCAAAACTTCAATTTGTAAGCAACAAGAAAAAAAAAAAGTATATTAAGCCTCTAAGTCCACATACTGGGTGAGTTAAATTTTCTAGATCAAAATTGGTAGCTTGACTAGCCGGATGCGATATTCCTTAATTGCTCTCGTTCTCCATGTTAACTCTTTGCTGCACTTTCTTTTTATCCCAAAATGCAAGAGCATGCTTAACATGTGAAGCTTTTGTTTCCCCCAGTGGAAATTTTTGCAGATAATATATCTACATGTGACATGAATGATAAGTTAACAGCAACCATTGACAACATTTAGACCATAAAATAACAATAGAAATATACAAATTATAATGGCACATTCTTCTTCTGTTTAGTCAACTTGACTTTTTCTAATTGTTTCTTATACACTCCAATACCCTTGTATAGTTCATTCAACACATAAGATGACCAATCAAACTTACCCAATCTATCTTTTATTGATAGTATTACCTTCAACAAATAATTAGTGACACAAATACTTGTATTAGGACACAACGACGTTCTTGATGCATATATGACAAACAGCATCTCAAAATTTTCATCTTGTTTCTTCTCGGTCAACAATGATGGTATCTTCTTGCATGGAATATTACCATAAACGATCCTCCATTGCTTGAACACTTCATCTTCACTACTCATACCTACTTTAATATCTTTGCCCTCAAATGGTAGCCCCATAAAGTCATGCACATCATTTGCCCTCATTTTCCTTCTTTTTCCTCTTATGGAAATGCTTTTTGTTGGAAGGTCAAATGCACACATAAACTCTCCACACAATTCTCTTTGAATTGTGGGGCAACATACTTCAACCAACTTGTCAAAACCTATCTTTTTTAGCCTGTCTATTAGTTCCTTTCTTTCTTTGATATGCTTGCAAACTTGGATGAATTGTTTAGGTACACATCTTGTGTAGAAAGGAACTATATGCTTCTTGGACTTTGTGGGACCTCTTTGTTCCTTAGCCCTTTTGCAATATTCCTCCCTTTGCTGTTTATATAATTTATCCCAAGCATTTCTCACATGTTGATTCCTTGATTCAAGTGATTTATACTTCCTCGAGCTTTTCTTATAGAATTCCTCTGTGAACAAGGCATAACTAGAAAAATTACAGCTTCTTTGTCCACTTTTGTTGGTTCCATCCTTCCCCATCTTCTTAACTTGCAAAACAAGACCAGTGCATTGAACTTCAATTCTTCTTGAATTCCTAGTAAACTTTTGCAAACATCTAAAGCTTCCTAGATATAAAAAGAAAATTGATTTAAAAGCACTATGAAACATGGAAAAAAAAATCTGACACTTATTTGATGATGTGGCATGATAACAAATGATGGATCAAATTAAAAGTGATGGATCCTAAATAGCATTGAATCCATTTCTATAAATAAAACCATCAATCATGCCAAAATTATTTCTTTCAAGAGGCTACGTTCAAAGATATGATAAAATAAAAATCAAGTAATTATTTTCCTGGTTTCCTGTTTTGCTTCTTGTTTCAAATCATATACAAACTACATAAAACCCTTGATGCCCTTACACCAAACATTCATGTTCTTCTTCATTAAAAATCTGATTTGATTATTACAATAATTAGCATTCAATATTAATTATACATGTTCTTGGAATGGTGTCTTTAAATATGTGAGGAAGCTTCAAGCTTGGTTGTATCAAATCAATCACTTAGTATTACTAATGAAAATCATAACCGCAATATTAAAAAGGAAGATTTCTTTCTAATTATTTAAACTGTCGGTGTCCTTGAGAAATTTGAGAATCCCAATCCATCTGTTTCCTACAGTTTTTGTATTTTTTCTGTTTTCCAAGTTTTTAGACAGTGTGTATTACTATTTAATGCATATAACTCTTAAGGAACAACCTCGATGCAATGATTAATTTCATATTTCCTTCTATTTTTCTTTAGTGGATGCCCGAATTGTGAAAATTTGCACCTAATATTCCAATTGTTCTTATTGGCCTAAAGTTAAGTGAGCAGCAAACAGAAAGTTTTGGAATTTCATATGCTCATAACTCTATCTGCACTTAGTGCATAGTTAACTGACATCAACAACTTGGTTTGCATTTTACATCTTTGTGAAGACAGAGGATTTTTGGCTTATCACATGGGATCTAATGTTATAACATCTAACGAGGTTTATATTCTTTATATTAGCTTTGCCTAATGAATGATCATGAATCACTTTTGCAATGAAAGGAGCTTACTTCACTCGTCATTATTTATTACCAATAGGGGGAAGAATTGAGGAAACAGATAGGCACGACAGCTTATATCGAATGCAGTTCAATGACTCAACAGGTTTGGATATTTAGATGTTTTATTGACAAAAAGCTTTTTCAATCATTACAGATTAAGAGAAACTGATAGACCCTTATTCAACCAAAGAAAGCTTTTTCAATCATTACAGGTTACAGAGAAACCGATAGACCCTTATTCAACCAGAGAAAGCTTTTTCAATCATTACAGACTACTCACCATGACTGAGAATGGAGTGACTGAATACCACAACAAGCCCCCTTCTCTCTTCAAATGCTGATGAACGGAAACATCATGACGAGCTCCCTTCGCTTCAAATGTCGATGAACGGAGCTACCACGATGAGCCCCCTTCGCTTCAAATGCTAATGAATGAAGCCACCAAGACAACCTCTACTTCGCTTTAAACACCGATGAACAGAGCCGCGACGACAAGCTTTCAAGGACTTCGATGATGATCTTTACTGTGACTACTTCAGCGACAAGGACAACTTTAACAAGGCTAGCAATGACAGGAGATTTTCGATGGGTTGTGAGCGGATTTTGAGTAGAACGATGGGTTGTGACTAGATTTTCAACACGATAAATCACCGAGAGGACAAAGGTACTGAAACCCTTTCAAATTTCTTCGGTTGAAACAAAATCGAGGGTTTCAATTTCCTTTTAGCATTTTTGAATTTCATAACCAAGGGCAAAAGAGTCATTTCAATATTCTAAAAATTGCATCTAAGTCCCTTTGGGACTTCAAAACAATTATGAGATTTCTAGGGACCTTTTTGCTATATATTTGGTTCTGTGGAAACTTAATGTCATTTTCTGAATATTATATAACTGTAGCGCTTCTCAAAGAAAGTGCTACAAAAGAATAATGGTCTTTTGTAGTGATTTTTTGACCAAGTATTACAGCTTTTATATATTTATTTTGTTAATAAGAGTATATTACTAATAAGTTGTATATGATTTAATTTGACATTGATGGTTGTAATCATCTTGTTAGTTGTTATTTATTATAAAATTGAAATAAATTAATTTAACTGAAATTGTTATAATTACATAATAAAGAGACAGGATTGCATGTTTATAGTAAGTTAATTGTGATGTTGTTTGGTATTAATTATCTATAAATATCTTTTGAATTTTACTAGTGGCAGTAAAAATTTATAAGTGAAATTATTGTAAATTTAGTTCTAAAATATTATCAAGAGAAAATGACTAGAAAATGACTGTTGAAATTTGAAATGACAAAATGAACATGCAAATAACTGAAATTATCAAATGGGCATGAGGTATCAATCTGGAATTTTGACAATTCCGTATAAAGACTAAAATTTTCCTGACATGTATTTAGAGCCAATTTCACTACTCCGGTAATGATAATGACAACATTTATAATGTGAATTATCATTTTTGTAATAAGAGTTACCATCTCGCTATTACCATTTGCAGCTCGTTTCTTTCAAATCTAAATAAGATGTATTTGGAACCAATTTCACTACTCCGGTAATGACAATGACAACATTTGTAATGTGAATTACAATTTTTTTAATGAAAGTTATAATCTCGCTATTGCCATTTGCAACTCGTTTATTTCAAACCCGAGTAACATGTATTTGGAGCCAACTTCACTACCCCGATAATAATAATGACAACATTTGTAATATAAATTACAACTTTCGTAATGATAGTTACCATCTCGCTATTGCCATTTACAACTCGTTTCTTTCAAACCCAAGTAATATATTTGGAGCCAATTTCACTATCCTATTAATGATAATGACAATATTTGTAATGTGAATTATAACTTTCATATTGAGAGTTACCACCTGTTCATGTCTTCAGAGAAGTTTAGGGGCATTTTAGTCTTTCTACCGAATTGTCAAAATGCCATATTGATATCTCAGGCCCATTTGGTGATTTCAACTATTTGTATGCCCATCTTATCATTTCAAATTTCAACAATCATTTTTTTATCATTTTTCCTGTTATCGACCTAAAAAATAGTTTTGTTAAAAAAAGAGCTCAGCACTTTTTTTAAAAAAATAGACATGCTGTAGAATGTCTATCTTTAAAAAAAAAAAATTCTATAGCGCTTTTTAAGAGAGGCACTATAGAATGTTTGGTATACATGTGCTATGGCATTTCTCAAAATGTAAAGTGCCACAAAATATTATTAATTTTCTTAAAAAATATATGTGTTGTAGTGCTTTTCAAAGCATTGCAGCTTGGTCTTCATGCCTTTTCTAGCAGAGCATATGTAGCATTTTGAAAACACTACAAAACTAAAAAAACAAAAAAATTGCTACAACTTATTTTTTGTGTAATAGTGTTTTTTAAAATAAAAAAGCGAAACTTGTTTAGGTTGAGGCCAAGCTCCTTCTTTTTTATTAGAGGTAAAGAATTACCATTGATCCATAATTTCCATGCCTAGAAAAATTTACACAAAAAATGACAGTTGTTAGACTTTAATATTGTATTAATTAAGAGAAATGCATTTAATACCTTTTGCAAGAAAGGAAAGTAAATTGCAGAGACTTACGAAGCCTAAAAGTGTAAAAGATTCTGTGTCTTCATAAAAGCTAGTGTTTTTTTTTCTGCTAATAATCTCTAATAATAGAACACCAAAGCTAAAAACATTTGATTTTTTTGAATAGAGTCCTTCAGTTGCACTTTCAAGAGAAATATAGCCACTGCATTTGGGCATGTCTTTGAGCTCTCAATATGCTATCAATATTCTTATCAAGGACAAGGGAAAAGAAGAATTTACAACGTTCCAACAATTCTTTCTATATGTGCCTGATCTTGACCATCTTTAACAAGTTTAGCCATTCCAAAATATGATATTTTTGGATTTATCCCTTCATCTAATAATATATTACTTGCCTTCAAATCTCTATGTACAATTCTTGATCTTGAATCTCTATGAAGATAAAGTAATCCTCTCACTATTCCCTCAATAATGTTGAAGCGTTTTTCCCATCCCAAGCATTTTTGTTGCAATGGATCTACAAAAAATCAATTTAGGAATAAGCATAGTATTCAAACCCATGTGGCGGGTATTAGACACATGTAAATAGAAACATGGGAAGCATTGCTACAAATGTCAGCAAACAAGAGGCAACACAAGGTAAAATACGAGTTGAAGTGCCAAATCGTATTTCCACATCCAATATAATAAAGAAGATGGCCACCAACCAAAGATATATGTATTTAGACTCTTGTTTGGTAAATACTCACAAACTAGCATTTCTTCTTCTTCAATGCAACAACCAAGAAGTTTACCAAGGTTTTCATGTTGAAGATTAGAAATCAACTCTACTTCATTAATAAATTCTTCAACACCCTGTCCAGATGATCTTGACAATCTTTTTACTGCTATTTCTTGTCCATCTTTGAATTTCCCCTAAAATAAAATGAACAAAAACCTCCAATAAGAATGATAAAAACCTTAATCTAACTAATTTCACATGACTTGGAAAATGACGAACAAGGAAAAAAAAAATCGAATACCACCTTATATACTGGACCAAAACCACCCTGCCCAAGTTTATTTGCCTTGTCAAAGTCGTTTGTTGCAGTTGCCAACTTTCTGAAATCAACAGTGATACCTCTTGAGTTTTTACTTGCTTTAGTTTTATAATCCTTCTTTTGTTGTGATGCATTTTCCCTGTGTCTTGCATATTTCAATCAATTTCCTCAATATGTCATCAAAATTATAACAAGCTACAATTTGCAAGTCATTAATAGTATCATTCATTCTTTAAATGCACAAGAAAGCGCATCAGTTAGTTTTGTTTTTTTTTTTAAAATGTATAAATTAAGTATTTTTCTCATATAATATGTGTTTTAGGTTGGAGGAAAGCGAGTAAAAAGAGAGGGAGAAATATGACTTCAGATACCCAAACCAAGGATTTATTCACCTTACCACTCAAATCATTGATGCCTTAAATGAACTCTTAAAAGTAAAACAGAACATCACCTTTTAGCTTTGACCCTTTTTTGCATAAGAAAAATCCAGATGCTGTAACGAGAATAGTTCCTGCCAGAACTGATATTAGAATTGTTGTCGTCATATTCCTCTTGCTTGTACCTGTAGGTCCTGTATCTAAGACGAGAGCAAAATTCACTTAGACTTCTTTTTCTAACTATAAGTTCAATGCTATACTAGACATATTGCAATCAAACGAGGGAATAGGGCATTCAATTGCATATATGTAGTTTAAATTCGTCCATAAATATATAAAACGTGCTGTTGTTTGCAATCAACGGCCACCATAGTTAACTCCTTAGAAGCACAGCACTCCATATGTCATAATTCTATTGGAAAAGCATGCAAGTTCTGTACTAAATCCAATTTAAGTATCAAATTAAATATATATTGTAAATAAAACTAAACTGGGCTTTTCCTAAGTGCTTCGATCATTTTTCACTCATCAAAAAAGGTACCTAGTTCTGAGGAGGCAAGACGTAAGTAAAGATCCACCCCTCCTGGTGAGTTGCTTATTATGTCAACTAAATCTACATTCCAAACCATACAGCCAATGCCTGTTCCATAGGCATAAGCTTTGCAAGAGCAATTCTTCAAGCATGGAGTTTTACAATCTATAGCATCTGTGAAGTTATAGTAAGGTAACATCTCTGCATAAGCTGGTACTTTTAGACTTTCCAACTTCAAAAACTAATTTAATCCGCTACCTTGAGAACCATTGTTATCTCTCTCACACTTGAGTGCTTCTCTCCTCACACACCCACTGGTCCAATTCTGCCTCCCCTATTCTTCTTTGTTCTTTGGTTCCAACCCTCTCAAGCAGCTGCAGATTGGTGAGCTCCGCTTATTGCAAATCCCAAATGGGCCACATTTGCCATAAATATCACACTCAGAATCCCCAATTATCCACCCAACTTCCCATATATTTCCATGGAAATTCCAAATCCGTTCTTCTGTTCTACGCTGAGAATCTATTGTAAAAATCATCAAAAAAGACTTGTCTTTCACATGAAAAGATAGTTTAAAACTTCCTTCATCTCCTCTCACTTCAATCCCATTTCCGAAAATAAATGATTGCCCAGGTGTTCCAAGCAAATTTATACCGTTCCATGGACCACTCCGAAAATAAGGATGATTTCCTTTCCATATCCTTATTTCTGTAACACAAGCGGGTTCAATGCCAAGAGAAAATTCACCTAAGGATGGATCAGATATACTTTTCCATGATGTGAGTCTCACTTTCTCACCTTTTTGTTGGTTACTACTGAGTTTCATGTCCTGTAATAATGTATCACAAGGATGTTGGAAACTCTGCCACATCATTGTTCCAGTAATTCCATCTACGAGTACAAGGTTGGGAGAATCCAAGAGCTGAGCACTGGAATTTGATGCGATATGTGAGACATTTGTTGACCAAACAACCTGTTTTTGCCCATTCAAAACAACAAGATTGCCATTCTCTGATATTGTGAGAACTCCAGAAGAATCTGCTAGCGGGTCATTTCTGTTTGCTACCCAAGCAATAGTGGATTTGGTCATAAGCCAAATTCCTAAGTAGCCATTTGTGGAATTCTCAGGCCCGAAGAATCCAAGCGTGAACATGCTATTATTTGAGCTGATTGTCTGTGGTTCTTTGATCAACAGAGACGGTGTAATGGTGTCCAAGGCACAGACCAGAACAGAAAAAGAGAACAAATGTATAAGAAAAGTAAGTGACAGGAAAGCAGTTTTACTGAATCCAATATTCATTTTGATTATCGGCAAATGGAGGCAGAGAATTATGGGTTTTTGAATGCTATGACTTCAATTCAAATCATGCGAGGCAGAGAAATTTGAGAAAAACACAGATGCAGAAGAAGTACCTATCAGAATTTGAGAAAAAATGGTTTAATTTGATTCAATAGTCTTTGGCGTCTTATTAAGCATTAACTTGATCGATTACACTCTACAGCTTGCTTAGAAAACTAGAAAATGGTCCCACTTACAGAAAAATTGATCAATGAATGAGAAGTTTAAAAATTAGTGAACATGTTAAATCTTCTACGACTATAGGCTATAAGTATTCCAAGTTACTGGAGTAGGAGAAGAACAGGCAAATAGTTGTCTTCCTAGAGAAAGATCAGTACTCAGAAAGGGGAACCAAAAAGAGGGAAAAAAAAGAACTAATGCAAAAAAGGAATTTGGGTTACTATATTTCTTCTTTTCAAAAGAAATAAATATCTTTTAATGTGGTGAAAACACCATATTTGAATTTTAAATTCTAAAATTAAAATGTAAGACATTAATGGGTTGATCGATCATCATCGATAAACTAACTAAAGCACGTTATTGAAATACGGGTCACCCACCATGGTTGATCAGAGTAAAAGAAAAAGGTCAAAAGTCTTCTGTGCTTGTGGGTGTGACCAAATACTACTATTTTCTTCTCCAGTTCTGAAAGAAACTGCGTAGCATTACATGTGTCTGATTTCCATGATAATAAATTGCAAAAAGATACAACATTGGCCACTTACAAGAATTGACGCATTTATGTGCAAAGAACGACTCACCATGTTTTTGATACCAAGCACATTACATCTGATAGTACGTAACAAAAACAAATCAAATTACCCACACTCCTCGCTTCCCTAGCACCGCATCCCCACCTCTCTCTTCACAAAAAAAAAAAAAAAAGACCATTCTCAATTCGTGCCTGTCATCCATTTATGTTCATCAAAAAATCAATTAAATTTAAAATAATAAATATGTAAGGTATATATATTTATTTTTCTAAATATGCTCTTATTAATGAAGAGAATTAATAGAAGATGCAATAAATGAATCAAAAAGAGGAGAGAGTATATATGGGGCAAGATTAGGAAAAAAACTCATTAAATATTTAGACAAAACTAAAGTTTATCTTATAAAAAAAAAAGCAAATGCTTCTAACAAAATTTATCTTATATTTTGAACCGTATAAAATATTCCCCTTTATTAGTGTTGCTCTAGAGGCCTTTCACTTTTGTTTTTCAATACACGCATATTCATTTATAAATATCCACCACAACTACATACACATATATTAGGCTTTCGTGATATTAAAATTTTTTGCCTTATGCTACTTCCATTAGTTAATATAATAGCTAGTTTGACAATTAATTTTCTCCCAAGTATAAATCCCAATCTACTTTGTCTTTCATATTTATCTACTTTTTCTTAACGTTGTCCTTGTAATTGTTGCATATATTAAATGTTTATCAAATGGTAGTTTTAACTAATACACATGATTAATAACGGTATTTTAGGAAAGACAACACATATTTATTATAAATAACTAACTTAACTAATTATCTTAATCTACTCAAATTAATCTATTAGCTCTTATATTAAACACTGGAAGTAGTATAATAATTTTGTATCTTAATAAAAATAGCTGGATCTATGGGAATTGATGTGTTTATGTAATTTGATGCAATATGAGAGACATGCGTTGACCAAACAACCCGCTTTTGCCCATTCAAAACAAGAAGACCAAGGCAAAGCCCAGAACTAGAGCCGGAAATATGGGTTGGGGCATGCGGGCCAGCCCGCCAACCCGCCATAAAAGAGCAGGTTAGGGTTGGCATTTTGCCAGCCCGCCAAAATGCGGGCTGCTCTAGCCCGCACCGCATAACCCGCGCCCGCCACTTTTTTTTTTTAAATTTTTCATATAAATAATATATTATTATATTTGAAATTTTTCTTCTCTCATTTACATCTCAATTTTCATGTTACATAATACATATGTAAACAACAAATATTTTTTAAAAATAAGCATACCAAAAATTTAATAACTACAATCAAATATAAGATAATATTTATTATAGAAAAAAAGTATTTTAGAAAAATATGGTGAATGAACTTTAAAAAAAGTTAGATAAATGCACTTCTAATTTATTAAGAGATAGTGTTTTGTATCAAACATGACATTTGTATAAAAAAATTATAAAATTTATCACTTGATAAGTTGATATTGAATGTTAGTCATGTAAAATATTTGTAATATATTGTTTTATATTTATATTGACTATTTTAAATGTGGTTAAATATAGTTTATACTTGTGATTACTTTTGAAATTTTGGATCACCATTTATTAGTTTAAAAAATTAAATAAAAATAAGATTTAAAAATTGAGAATTAAAAAAAAAAAAAAAGATGGCGGGTTGGCGGGCCACTGTGGCGGGTTAGGGTTGGGACTTTTCCAGCCTGCCAAAATGCGGGCTGCTCCAACCCGCACCGCATAACCCGCGGGTTGTGGCGGGCTGGCCTGCAACCCGCAGGTTGGCCCGTATTCTCAGCTATACCCAGAACGGAAAAGGAGAACAAATATAAAGGAAAAGTAAGTGACAAGCAATCGTTTTTACTAAATCCAATACACATGTCGATTATTGGCGAATAGAGGCAGCAAATTAGGGGTTTCTGAATGCTGTTTAAGACAACCATTTGCCCCTGTTCTTATGCTACTCCAATGGCTTAGAACAGTCATAGTCATTTAGTCGCCTAAGACTTAACATATTGTTCATTAAGTTTTTAATATTCTCATCCATTGATCAATTTTTCTAGAAGTGGGAACATTTTCAAGTCTTCTAAGTGTAAACAACCAAATTTCCATACATATGACTTTTTGAGATTTCTTTGCCCCACACAACGACAATTGAAGCATTAGAATTTAGTGTTTAACTATTTGCCAAAGACTATTGAATCAAGCTTAACCAGTTTTTCTCCCATTCAGATACTCTGCATCTATGGTTTTCTCAAATTTCTCTGCCCCACATTATTTGAACTGAAGTTACTGGAGAAAGTCCGGTAGTCAGAAAAATAAAAATAAAAAAACTACTGCCCAAAAAAGAAATTTTAGTATCTCCTTACTAAGTAGTTTTTGAACTCACATCTTTATTGAATTGGACTAACTCCCTACTAAGAAAACTTTTATTGACTAGGGTGTTTGACAACCCTAAAAAATGTTTTTAAAAAACACTTTTCCGTAAAACGAGGCAAACTCTTCTATATATTTATTTTGTAAACTGTAAAATCATGGTTTGGTTTCCATCCAAGCACTATATCTGTTTTATTTATTTCGTTACTATCTTTATTCTTTTCAAAAGACTATACAGTCTTTTCTTGGTAGTTAATATATATTCCATGAGTTGAAAACCAACAACGTATTTGAATTTCAAATTGTAAAGTTGGAAATTATAATAAAAAAGTAAACATTAATTAATTGATCGACATCGATCATCAGTAATAAACTAACTAAAAGCAGGTTACTGAATTATGGGTGGCCCATCATAGTTGATCATAGCAAACAACGTCTTATATGGATATGTATACATTACTATTTTCTTCACAAGTTCTGGTTGCAAACAATATTTGAGACCTCAGATATCTTGTACAAAAGAAGTTGGGTAGCTTTACTTATCCCACTTCTATGATAATAAATTGGAGAAATATAGGCGATTAGCCACTGGAATTCACGCATTTGATCTGTACAGAATGACTTACCATGTCCTTTTATACTGGGAAAACCATTTTACATGTGCCTATAATTTTCTCATTTAATTCACTGCCTGTCGCTGTAATTTTACTCCATTAGTACCGTTAACTTTTGCATAGGGTCTAATAACACATAACGAAATTATAGAGACTAACAGTACTAACAAAATAAAATTAGAGTATTTAATTAAGAGAAAAGTACATTGGCCCCATGTTAAAAATTGAGGAAAACTATAGATACATATAAAATGGTTTTTCCTTTTATACCAAACACATTGCAAGTCAAAGAATAAGTGAAATTAGTTTTTCTTAGAAACATAAAAAATAATATTAAATAATATAAGTTTACAAGTTACAAATAACAAGTGAAGTAAAATGAGATTCTAAGAAATTATCAAAAAAACAGAAATTAGAATGACCCTAAAATTAATAACAGAAAAATCAAAAAATAAAGATAAAATCTCTTGTCAAGCGATATTGAGTGTTGAAGAAGGTCGTGAAGGAGTTTGAACATGTAATTGGTTTTGAAATAATTTATTATTCATCATAACTACAATTAACATTATCAAATTTGAAATAAAAGTTTTATGTCATATATCAAAATTATTTTTAAGTTAATTTTGTAACTCATCGTTTGCCACTGAATAATTCAATATTTACAACAACTATTATGAATTTGTATGTACGTAGGTTCATTTTTGAACAATTCTTAAAATTTTTGAACTGAATAATTTAATCTTATCTGCTTCCTCTAGATGATCCCATCAAGCCCATTATGTTTTATAAATTATAGACGAAAATTCTTCCCAAACTAACCACTAAAATAAATCTTTTGAAATAAAATATATTAAAAATTTTAAAGAAATTTCTTATTGTCTTTATAAAAGAAAATATATTCTCAATATTTTATGAGAAAATCTCATTAAACACCCTCTCTTTTTTTTTTTAAATACCCAAATCCCAAATTAGGCCCTACATTTAACAGAATCTAAGTCGGTCAAGCAGCCCAATTCATGGGGGGAAAAAGCAGCCCAATTCAAAATTCAGAATCGATTGATTTTACCTATATGCCCTCCTGCCCCTGCCCTCTCCGTCTTCCATCTCCAGACTCGTTCTCCTCCATCCATCTCCTCCCCTCTCCCTCCGGCTCAAAACACACATCGCTGGCCGATAAACAGCTCCTATGGAGAGGAATAACATCGGCATTATTGACAGATTGCCAATTGCTAACCCCATG